GCTTTGATTTCAAAATCGAGCCTATAAAAGGAAGTGAAAACTCCCTTGCTGATTACCTCTCAAGAGAACATCTCTTGAAGACACCAAAATCAGCTATGACATCTCTTCCTCAAGATGGAACCTCCTCCAGGCCGGAGACGGCCAAACTCTCAGCGGCCTCCGCCACAAATCAATCAGCGACCTCCGTCGCCGAGAAATGAGTCAAACATTTCTCCACAAATAGCAGCCTCCTCTTCTAGGGCTGCTATCTCAAAGGGCAAAAGGCCCATCACTCAATCATCTGTACCATCTCCGATGAGTGTAGAAAATTATGCTATGGACACCCAGTTTGAAACGGTATCCAGGCGACAGCAAGGTTCTTCCCAGAGAGCCTTGACTATTCAAACAGGCCCTCCAAGCCTTCCAACTCCTTCAAGCACGTTGTTACGCCCTCGTGGCAATACAACTAGAAATAGGCGCCCTGCTACTGCAGCCGCTGCTTCCAGACCAACGATTCCGAGGAACCCTTCCTCGTTTTCTCAAATAGTTAGGCCGAAGATTTTTCAGCCAAGACCTCCAATTACTGGGTATTTCACCAAGACTACCCTAGTAGATTCAATTATTGAGCCAGAGTTCGACGGACCTTCAGTCCAAGAAGTCTGCAAGTAAATATTTCCTCATGGCTTCAACTACCTGCCAGAGGATATTCAAAAGACCCGAACTTATTATGAGTTTATTCTGGTAGATTCAAAGTCTGCAGAAATAACTCATGTTCCAGACAGAAATGATCCTTCCAGGACCATTTACTCAAAGCTCAAGATCTTCCGCATCCTTACCCCTTCCTCTTGGAAACAGGGTATGTTTGTAGGAAAAAGACTGTTAGCAACCTTCCAGCCTCAAACTTACAACTACCGCGACTACATGAAGGCGTGGTATATTGTCTTCTGGCTGCAAGGCTACAACCATTCCTGGTTTGTGACATTCTGTAAGCAAGCTTACAAATCTCACTTTCCAATTTGGTTTCAAACATGGTGGACTTATTTTGGACTCTCCGAAGAAATTTTTCCGGTAGAAGTTCAGAGATCTTACCACCTATTCCAACAAAATATCTATTTGTCTCCTCTCTCCAAGACGTTTAGGTTCGCTTTGTACTTTCAAATACCATGGATCTTTTGCTGGAATTTCCAGCTAGGACCCAGTGGAAATTTCAAAGCGTTGAGCAAAGCTCTACGCATCAAATGGTGGGAAAAATTCGATTATTCCTACCTAGAATCAGAAAAGATGAAGGATTGGTTAAAGACCAACGTTCATCTTCAAGACGTGACTAGGCAAGAAGACGAAAGCTTCCTTCTGGCCAAAAATGCAGTCATGAGCTCACTTGCTGGAGTCGGATCTCAAGCCGACTTCAACTCGGTCCTCAATGCCGTCGCAGTTCAGATCTCTGACCCCGACGATGTTCAGACGGATGTAGATTCATCCGCCTCTGTCAACGATGATGCCGTAGACGACGTAGAAGACTTCGATCCCTACGATGGATACGACATCAACGACCCATATCTAGATTCACAGCCCAGCTGAGACTAGATATTTCAATTGTTTAATTTTAATTTCTTATTATGTAAATTAATTTGTTTAAATTTCGTTTTGAATTTTCGATAAGATCATTGTATTCCGATCTTATCATCACTATCCYAGTCTGTTTTTGTGAAGGACTTGCAGAAGAAATCACGATGCAGTAGATGRYATGCTTCTGATGTGGAATAACCAACCACAAGGCAACGCAGGTAGCGTACAGGATTGACTCAGATGAGAGGATTCCATATCTCACAAGGCAACTCTAGTCGAAAATCTATGGTGTTCCTTGGGCAGTGAAAGGCGGGAAGCCGAGAGTAAGACCCTGGATGGAACGGCCTA